ATCCCTGGTTCCACAAAAAAAAAAAAAAAAAATGCTACTTGAGACACAATATTTACTACAAGCTGGGCACTAGCCAAGGGTTTGCTGGTGTTCTGTTTCCTTTTGGGGAAGTGAAAGTTAACAACGTTCCCACCTGCGTGAATCGCTGGCCATACACAGGGGACTGACCCACCCAAAGGACTGCGCCCTGTTGCCCAACAGGACAGTCCTGAACCTGCCTCTGGTGGCTCAGAGACTTCTAGCAGTGAGACATAGGATTATGGCCCATTTGTGAACATGCTGAGTCCTTGCACTGAGCTACATCCTCAGCCCTTTTTTAAAATTTTAAGACAAGGTGTAAATTGTCCAGGTTGAGCTTGAACTTGTGATCCTCCTGTCTCAGCCTCCCAGAGTGCTGGGTTACAGCTGGCATGTGCTCCCAGGCCTGGCTAATCCCCAGGTCCTCTCCATACCAGGTCACACTGTCCTTGAGGTTCGCCCCACGGAGTGAGCAGTCATTCCTACTCTACAGCAGGAATCATCCCAGGAAGCTGCTCAAAGCCACCTGGGAATGGTGCTGGGCTGTCACTCAGCCAGTGCAGCTCCCTGAGGCTACCATGAAGGCTGCAGAGGACAGGCAGGCCCGAGTCACAACATTCCCAATGCACAGCCTACAGGGCTGGTGCACATGACAGGTGGCCAGGAGGGGCCTGGGCCCACATGGAGCTACATCGTCAGATCTGGTAGTGCCCAGCACGAGTGCTTATCCCATCAGTACCTGCGCTAGTACTTACCACACAGTCTGCTTAGCTGCTAGCCTCCAGCACAATTTTACCTTCCTGTCTCGCTGCACTGCCTTGGGACCTGCCCGGACTAGACATGTGTGGCCTCTGCATCTCAAAGCTGGCCTCACGTCAGTGTCACAGGGTGCTGTGTACAGGTGTCGCTCTGTGGCCCTGAACATCTAGGAGGCTCACGATCTAAACAGATGGGGGAACCTATGGCACAGGTGACCTGTTAGTCACCACTGAAGGCTCTGGAAGGCTGGCTTCACTGCCCTGAACCCACTTACTATTTCAGGTGCTCTTTATCTTTGCTGCCAGGGATCTGCGGGGCAGTGTGCGGGACCTTGGGAGGGACACAGTCCTGACCCAGGCAGCAGGCTGGGATTGTGCCCAGGGTTGTGAGAACCAGCCGACCATCTGACCTCTCAGGCGGGGCCTCTGGGCCACACACCAAGACCCCAACTCCAACAGGGCTCCTCAGGCCTGGCAGATGGGTGTCACCTGGGGGGGGGGGCACAACCTGCCTGGCCACATTCCATCTCTGTGCTGTCCACAGCTCTCCCCAGCCCCCACCCACACCACAGTCTCTTTGTTTCATGCCATGGGAGTTTAATGCAGGGCCCTGCACCAGCAGTGGCCCCTGTGCTTCCTCATTTTTCTCAATTTTTATTTTAAGACAGAGCTTGGGTAAGTTAAGTTGTTAAGTGGCCCAGGCTGGGCCCAAATTTGTCCTGCCTCACCCTCCATGAGTGCCGGGATTCCAGGCCTACTCCACCACACCAGGATCCTTCAGTCCTTTGGGTAGAAAATCTTTCTCTTTTTTGTATTTTTTTAGGGAAGGGTCTACAGGGTGTTCAGGGTCTCATTACTAGATCGGATTCCTAGTGATTTGCCTGTTTACAGCCTCCCAAGAGCTGGGATTATAGATGCAACACTATAGCCAGTCTCAACTGCCCATCTCAGTGTGCCCTGGGGCAGGACCGGCACAGAAAATCTTTATGTTACCTGCATGTACAATCTGCCAAAATACAGCCCATTCATCTGCAGTGCTAACATGCACTACTAAACATGAGGAACGAAAGAATACATCACAAATAAAGCAAACACACTTGGCATGGTGGCAATTACCTGTCATACCAGCACTTGGGAGACTGAAGCAGAAGGATCCCTGTGAGCGCAAGACTGGCTTGGGTTACATCTTGGGCTACATAGTGAGGTTAAAGCCAGCCTGAACCACACAGAGAGATTATCTCAAAAAAGAATAAAACCAACCAAACAAGAAAACAAATAAGGCAGACAACTTCTAAAAGATAAAATAAAGTGATCCAGTGGAAAACAATATTCAATTCCAATACACTGGGACCCTCAGGGGTATCTCAGGGCGAGCAGGGCAGAGTGGGCCGGTTTCTCCCATGCTGGACGATTTCCCGGGTGAACCTGTGCTGGGAGAAAAGAAGGGGCCACGCGAGCTCCAAGCTGTGAGGGCACCTGGCCCAGCCAGCGCAGCCCCTCCCGCCCTCCACCACTGCTAGGGTGCTCAGGTCACAGAACCCTAGCAGCCCTGTGAAAAGTGCAGCTCCTCCCACCATCCCAGAGAAACTCTCTGAGAGACAGAGAAGTCAGAGAAGTTACAATTCCCACATCTTAAATTACAAAGAGGCCTGGGACTGCTCCTCCAAGCAAAAGCTTAGCCCCAGTAACACATTTTAAAATGTAAAAGGGCTGAGGGGATAGCTCAGTAGAATAAGCACTTCCCTGGCAAGCACAAGGGCCTGAGTTTAATCCCCGGTTCTGCAAAAA